TTTCTCGCGGAGCGTCTCGCGACTCGAACTCCTTTCCACGCCTCCTATCCCTCATCCGCGATCGCGCTGCTATTTTCGCTCTCCAATTGCCATCGCGATTGCATGCCATTTCAGCGCTAACCCTCCGCGCTCGATGGGTTCTCGCTAGAAACATTCGACGCTTTCCGATGAGATACAGGCAACTACCTACGACGCTAACCAACGAGAAGACACACGCATAAATTAAGGAACGCGGCCGTTTCATTTCAATGTCCCGCGCATCGGCGCGTCGCACGCACCGTGATATTATACACAAGACTCAATAATTCCCCTGTATCGAATCGACCGGTGACCGAGAGTCGCCCCTCGAGTTGCGACGGGTTAATGTCGCGCTACTCGTGCCTCGTAATTGTCTCGCGTCGATATTTTTTACGACGACATAATCCCGTCGGTGTAAAATGCTCGCCGATAAATATAACGGACAATCTTACAGCGGGCGCACGCGTCCCGAGGATCTTTGTTTCCTACCGTTACCCGATTCGCGATCGCGTGCTCTCGGCGACGCGATCCGCGAATCGATGAACGAATCCGAGCGGTGCGCCGCGCGGCGTGCGCGTACGCGCGCACGCATACTCGCGATGCGGGTCAGTCATCGTATCCATTGGTATGCGACCTCCTCCTCCTCCGCCGCTGCATCCTACCACTCCGTCTCGCTCGTTCTCGTTAAGCTACGAGCCGCCGCGCGAAGATCGACCGATCCACGGAAACGAGAGGACGAACGGCGACGATCGATCGTCGCGCGGTTCGCCACCCACCGATGGAGGAAGAGGACGTTGAGTAATTCAGGGACACACGGAAACTCGACGACCAAGCTTCGCCTCCCTCGCTCTTTACGTGGAAGCGGTCGCCGCGATTCCGCGTAATCGGCGGTCCCCCGATCTTGTTTCCCGTTATCGCCTAATTATCCGTAATTTCCGGCCCTATTAGCCCCTTCGTTACGGCGTCCCGTTACCCGAGGTGGCACCCGGCGATCGTTTCGGAGGATGGACGAGCGGACGACGTCCGCCGCGTTCATAACAGCGAACGCGCGAAGAACCGAAGAATCGATGGACCCAAGTACGGAGATTTAACCGATAGCCTGCATGGAATGTTAGGGTTTAAACATGGAGTCCGATCGACGACAACGACGACGACGACGAGGACTTTCGAGCGTCGGTAATTGCGCCAGGATACACGGAGATTAGCCGGGTTCCCACTCGGTGAGAGGCAAACCGTTTTCCCGTCGGCCCTGTCTCTATTATTCCAGAAACGGAGATAAACAACCGCGCGGCTGTTACGCGGCGGTTTCGCAATTCCGCCGGGTGATTCGCGTCGCGGAAAACCGAAGGGAGACCGGGGAGGCCGTGTCACGGGGCTTCGAATGGAAGGAACGCCACTGGTCGAGCGTGTCGAGCCGGCGCGGCGCGGCGCGGCGCGGAGCGGCGCTCGGTGGATTTCCAGAGCAACGGAATGACCGAAATACGAGGAGCGGACGACGTTTGTAACGTGGAACGGCGAGCGCCGAGACCAACGCGCCGAGGGAGACCGAGAACGGGAGGAAGACGGAGAGAGTATAGAGCTGGTCGGTCCGCGGTCGCAATGTAGCGCGAGTAGAGGCGCGCGGTGGCTGCAGCGACCGGTGCACGCGAATGCATATACATATATCTCTGCCTCGTCGTTGCACTCGGGAATGCGGTCTATAGCGCGTAGGATCGAGAGCGGACGAGCGAGCAGGAGGCAGAGAAACAAGAAGAAAGACGGGACCAGGCATAGGCGCGGTGAAGAGAGCGAGAAGAGCCGAGGGAGCGACGAGAGCGCGCGAGAGAGGAGAGAGAGAAGCGAGCCGAGAGGGACGCCGGAACGGAGCGACAGGGAAAGAAGGAGAGCGTGCACGGCAGTCGTAAACGGCAACAATTGCTGCGGGCGTTGCCACTCGAAAGCTCGAGTGCCTAATGCCAGATGTCAGACGGTGGTTAGAGTCATTACGGTCATCACTTTGTACCGCGATACACGATGCACACCCCAGCCACCCGACTGATGCGCCGCCGCGTCTCGCGCTGCGTCTTCCACGTCTCCGGGCCGCCGGTGCCACGATCGAAATCTCATCGGCGCTCGTGAGTCGAACGGAGTTACCGGAGCACAGCTTTCCCCGAGCCGGAGACAATTTCACCGAAACCGTACCGGACCGGCGAACTCGGTCCGAAGGTACTCGCTCCCCCGTAATGCCTTCCACCGTCCGCGGCCGAAGAGGAACGCGCGCAGCCGGACAAAAGGCTCCGCCGTGGCTTAATGATCCTCGGTTACCGGTTAGAACGGATAATGGGGGCCTCGCGCGAGGATGAATCGGAACCCGTGTCCTGCCACGCGGAATAGAGAGACGGATACTCGGCTGACGGATACGAATAGTTTAACGCGTGAAAGCGCACGCACACGGCCGAGGGCCGTCCGATAGGGAAGAATAGCCCGGAGGTCGATCCGCGTTTTTCTCTCGCCGCGTCGTTAGCGACGATCGACGATTCAACGCGATCGCGGCCCTCGAAACCCGTTCCCGAGGCGTGACGAGAAATTCGCGGGGAAGAGGTCGCGAAAAACGAGCGAAACGGCGCGAGGCGGCGAGGAGAGGCAGAGAAGAAGGTAGACTCGAAGGGGTGGAGCCGGTACTCAGAGGGATGGAACGAGAAGAAGCGGCCGTCCGGCCGGTTCGGCTCCGCCGGACGGGTGGGAGAGCCCGAAAAATCTGTAATTATAATAATTATAGTCGAGAGGGCAACAATTATAAATCGTCATTGAACTAGGCAACGAAACACCGATAAAATATATATCGTACAAATGTTCGACCGAGCCGTTAATAGCCGTGGCCGTGCGCGTATCCCGGCGCGCGCGCTTATTGCGAGGCCTACTCGTTTATTAGAATTTCCGTGAGACGTTCCGTATTCGGTGCTCGGTATTCGGTATTCGATGCGCACCGGCCGCGAGCATTCACCGCTTCTCCCTTGAATGCGGATGACAATCCAACGGGAGAAAAAAGAAGGCACGCGTTTCGCTCGGCCAGATGGACGGCCGAATGTTCGTGGGAGGGAGAAAGAGGAAGGAAGATCGAGGGAGGATTTTTCTCCTCTTTTTCTGCCGCGCGCCCTTTTCTCCCATCTTTCCCTCCTCTCTCCCTCTTCCAGCCGCTTCTCCTCTCCGCCGGTCGGAGTCTTTCGAATCCACGGTCCACGGATCACGGACGTTATGAATGACAGACGCTTCGTCACAGCGGTGACGACTACCTCGCGCTCGTCTCGCGACGCGCGCGGTCCCGGTTTCGCGTGTCGCTCTCCACGAAGATTCCTCGTGGAAAGTCAGAAGTCGAAGAAAACGAAGAAGACGTTGGTGGAAGAAGAAGAAGAGGACAAGCAGGATGAAAATGAAGTCAAACGAGAAACAACTTCTCGCGACGCGAAACGATATAGGAGGAGCCATCGACGGCTCGATGTTACATGGACGCGTTGCGTCAGAGCGTTTCGCTTTCATATCCGCGGGACGGAGTGTGTTCGGCGAGAAATTTCGCCCGCAAAGAAGTGGGTTACTGCTCGTTACTTCAACAGCCCACAAGAACCCGTAACGACTTCGTTATCGTACGCAAACGAGCGTATAAGTATAGTATTACCTTCGACGATTACGCGGAGCGTAAGACGATCGTCCTTAAAAGGCGACAGCAGGTAACGCCCGCGTAATCCCCTTCGCGGAACGCTTCGACATCTCAAATTTCAGAAACGCATTCGCGCCTCGGGTATGTCCAGTTTTTCGAATTAGTCTGCGAAACCCGCTGGCCGGGACGTGCGAGGCTGCTCGTCGCCGCCGCCGCCGCCGCCGCCGCCGCCGCGTCGGCACTCTGGGACGGCGAGGATCGGCGAGTCCGCGCGCCGTAAAGGTATACCGATCGAGCGTGGCTCGTAAAGCAGCGTCGGTGTCGAGAGCAACTTGTTCCCGGTCGAACAACGCTTCAGGGAAGAGCGTCTCGCCGTGGCTACAAAGAAACTGTTGCCAACAGGTTTCCTCGCGCGAGACGAGCTCGCGTCTCTACCGGCCACGTGTTCCGGCGAACGCGTAAAGGCGGAGCAGCCGCGAGCGCGAAGCTTTTCGGACCTCTCTTTCGAGACGACCTCACCTCGCCTCGCCTCGCCTCGCCTCGCCTCGCTTCGCCTCGCATTCGTACGCGAGATGCTTTTCCCATTCAGGTTCCTACGCGCGGCTCCTACTCGTATTGCTCGGATCACGCTCGCAGCGAGCCGTGGCGAGCGAGAGTTCGTTCATGGCAGACCGAGCGGGCGACGCATGCAAATGAACGAGCGCGGATTTATTCCGCCTCCAGGTCTCGAGCGACGCGAGCCGACCGCCGACTCTGCCTGCTTTCGCGGGTAAAGAATCTGATCGATAACGCTGCGCGAATATCCGCGACGATAAACACGCTAATTGCAACACGCTGGATAAAACCTTTCGAAGAGCTCGGCCCGAACCGCCGGTACCAATTACGAGTTTCCCAGCGTAACGTGGATATTTGCCTCGCGGCGCGACTGGTCGCTAACGCGGCTGCCCTTTCGGCCAGCAGCTGCGTTTCAGGAAACCTTTAACGCGAGAACGATGCGCCGCGAGATCGAGGTTACGCAATCGCTAGCTAGTCGCGGGCCTAGCCGAACGCTGTCACTTTCGCGCGCGCGCTATTAATCGGCGACGAATCCTCAGCGAGGAACGTCGACCGTCGTTCTCGATGACAGATCAATTAGGGGACCGCTCCCGTCGAAGATCGATGAACGTCAATCTCGGTACACGTTTGCGACGCGAGCGCCGACGTCCCGCGAGATTACGCAAACGTTTCAACTTCGCGTGTAACGCGCCTTTAACGGGCCCGGTGTTTCCACTGTCGTCTCGCGGAACGAGAGGGAAAAGCACCGGGGATAAGGTACAGATCGAAAGCGCAGGTTTGCGTGGGTTCTAACCTTGAGAAAGCAGCGTCCAACGGGCATGTCCTCCGGCACTGTCGCGTTGTACAGGGGCTTCTCGAAGATGGGCTCGTTGTCGTTGAGGTCGTGAACCGTGACGCGAACCGTTGCACTGCTGCTCAGCGGCGGACACCCGGAATCCGTCGCGATCACCACTAAAATCGGCGCGGGGTCGGCCTCGCAATCCACGTGAGTGATCGTGGTGATCAGGCCGGACGACTCGTCGATCGCGAACCACGTGGAATTCACCAGGGAGTACTTGATGGCGGAATTGGAGCCCTCGTCGAGATCAGTGGCCGTCACTTTGAGCACCGGGGTGCCCGGCTCCGATGCCTCCAGCAAGTGGGCCTCGTACCTCTCCTGGACGAATTTCGGCGCGTTGTCGTTGACGTCGGTGACGAGAAGCCGAAAGGTCCGGACGGCCCTGAGCGGCGGCGTGCCCGCGTCGGTCGCCTCGACCGACAGATCGTAGACGGGTTTCTCCTCGCGGTCGAGCGGCCTCTCGACCACGACCAAATATATGTAGTTCTCCCTGGTCGCCAGGCCGAAGTGTCCCTCGCCGCCGGTCAACGTGACCGTCGCGTTCGAGTACTCGGTCCTGGAGTCCGGATCGCTGACCGATATCCTGGCCACGAACTGCCCGGGCTGCGCGCTCTCGCTGATCTTCGGGGTCGCGTCGTCCGACAGGAAGATCACCGTGATCGCCGGCTGATTGTCATTGACGTCGGTAACGTTCACCGAGAGGAACGCGCTCGCCTCGAGCGGCTGCGCGCCGCAGTCCCTAGCGACGATCACCAGCTCGTGCCGTTCCTTAGACTCGAAATCCAGCGCCTTGTTCACGTACACCATGCCGGTCTCCGGATCGATGCGAAACATCTCCTCGCGGTCGGATTGCCGGCGATTGATCGAATACTCGATGCGGCCGTTGTCGCCGGCGTCGCTGTCCGTCGCGTTCACCGCGAGCACAGGCGTGCCGACGGTCGCGTTCTCCGGTATGCTCGCGACGTACGTCGTCTGGTTGAAGATCGGCGGATTGTCGTTAACATCCTGTACCGTCACGTTCACGTGCAGCCTCGAGCGTAGAGGCGGAGCGCCGCCGTCCAGCGCTTCTATCACCAAGTGATACTGCGAGCGAGCCTCCCGGTCCAGGGAGCCGGAATTCTGTAGGTCCAGGTAGAGGACGCCGTCGCGGCCGCGATGCGGGGACAGCCTGAACGCGTCCCCGTGGTTCCCGGAGACGATCTCGTACCGTTGGGTCGAGTACTGATCGAGATCGGGGTCCTTCGCGGGCGGCAGGGCCCTCTTCGCGTCGCGCGGCGAGTTCTCCGGGAACTCGACGTCCACGCGGTCCACCGGGAACGTCGGCGCGTTGTCGTTCTCGTCGAGCACTTTCACGACCACCTGAATGTTCTGCGGCAGGGCGACCAGGCTGTAGGACGGCCTGGTCTCGCGGTCCAACGGCACCTTCGTCCGAATCTCCCCCGTCCCATAATCCACGTTCAAGTCCGAGTCGACCGCGGACCCCGAGACCGACACTATCAAATAGGGCGGACTGTCGGCGTCGATGTAACCGACCCTGGTGCCTGGCCTCGCGTTCTCCGAGACCTCCAAGTATCTGACGAGCTCGGACCACGTGCCCGGGGCGAGAGTCGCTCCCAGGACGAGGAACAGTAGCAGGTGCCGCATCCTGGAGCCTTCACCGTCGCCGCCGCCGTCGCCACCACCACCACCACCGCCGCCGCCGCCTCCTCCTCCTCCTCCCCCGTCTTGCGGTCTATTATCTCCTCGACCTCTCCATCGCTGTACGATCGTGAGTGAGTGGACGCGAACACCGGCGACACCGCCAAGGATCCGTCATACGCGCCGTGAAACGCTCCGAGACGAGGACACGGTGGCAGCTTCCCTGGCTCGGCTAGCTCTCGCCTACCTATCCGCCTTCTGTTGCGCGCGTTTCCCTCCTTCGTTTATCGAACGACCGACGACGAAAAGCACGAATATCCGATCCACCAGCACATTGATCACCCACCAGCAGCACCAGCACCAACCACAATCACGCTTTATTCTGGTTTCTCTATTCGCGATCACTTCCACCACGTCGTAGTAGCACGCGTACCGAATCGTCTCGGCGCGACGACTTCTCTGTTCTCTGTCCGCCGATCTTCCGCTCGATGTGGCGTTCACCGAAGATCCGCGACGCGTCGCGGAAATTCCATTAGCGGCCGCGGGTCTATCTCGGCTCCGTATCGCGTCGTTCCGTCCCGGTCTATCCCCGGTCTCCCGTATTCTCCGGTCGTTGTTCCTCCGTTCGTCCCACCAACGCGTACGTGCCCGCCTATCTCCGTTTCCCTGTGGCACGCTCGTGCTGGCACGCCGCGCTATCCAGTGTCCTCGCCGTTGCTAGAATATCTTCGGGCCGAGATATATCGTGCATTCCTCGCGTTAGATCCACGCCGGATAAACCAGACGATCAACACGAGGGGAACCAGTCGCGAACCCGGCGCGATCCTCTCGCGTCCAGATCGGCCTTCATCTCTCGCGCGGTCCCGTCGGGCCCAGCGCCGAAAATCCACCCTCCGCCGGTGCCCGTCCGCGTCCTCGCCGGCTCGACGCGAATCGCTTATAAGGCCCGATCCGCGGCGGCTTTTGTCATCATCGTTGGAAAGCGCGGCCGCGCGAGCTCCTGTCTTCCGGATCGTCGATCAATCCTCTCGGAAGTTAACGACCAGGCAGGACCAGTTGGACCAGCGAGCGAGCGCGCGCGACTCGGCGAACGAGTCGAGTCTACCTTCTCCGGGGACTCTGACTCCGCTTGCACCGCGACCGCGTTCGCGTTCGCGTTCGCGTTCGCGTTCGCGTTCGACTTCCAACTTGGCTTACAGTCACCCGGTCCTCTCCACCAAACTGTCAACCACGACGCGCACTAGACGCGAGCGAATCCATAAACCGCGGATACCTCGGAATAGAACGCGACCGCCGGACCTCGTCGATGAACCGCGGCTTCGCGTACCGTTGGCGGCCCGATGCGTGACCTTCGGCCCCGTATCTCGCTGAACGCGCTCTCCGTTCCGATCGTAGGCTCCTTTCCGCACTCGAGGACACCCTCGCCCGCGACTCGACCGCGGGGACGATACGTTCCCGTGCTCCGAACGATTCGCGATCCAGCGATCGACTCAACGCGGACCGTTTCGTGCTCCCTGAACGGTGACTAACCGATCGACCTTGGACATTCGGAATCCCGATCACTCTGCGGCCGAACGTGGTTCCACTCTCAGCCCGGAAGAGTAATATGGCAGGAACCGTGAGCAGCACGAGGTGTCGCGTTCTTGGGCCCAGCGTCCGTTCCGCGCGGCTTCGAGGTTAGGCATGCACTGACATGGCGGCACCTGCAAGGCCTACCCTTCCCCTAACTCGGTGGACTCGGCTGGCTCGGTCAGGGGGACCCGGCTGGACCCGAGCTGGCGGCCATCTTGGAGAGGGGAGAGGTAATACTGGGCCCCGATATGCCGGGGCCTCGGCATTCAGCGCGCTTCGCGGCACCGAGCAGCTAGACTATACCAAACTCCTCGCTTCCCTGCTTACTTGCTTGCTCGCACGGCCGCTTCCTTGCTCTCCTGACTGCTTGCCTGCCTGACTGCCTGACTGCCTGCCTGC